TTACGTTATTGTGTGTACTCCCCAAGTCATTTATTCAATGTGTTATAGCGACAGTGTAAACCATCTACGTTATCGTGTGTACTCCCTAAGTCATTTATTTAATGTGTTATATCGACAGTGTAAACCATTTACGTTATTGTGTGTACTCCCCAAGTCATTTATTCAATGTGTTATAGCGACAGTGTAAACCATCTACGTTGCGTTGTCGTGTGTACTTCCCAAGTCATTTATTCAATGTGTTATAGCGACAATGTAAACCGTCTACTTCTTGATGTCTAGAAGCTTACAATTTACAATATTTTAATTGTTTTTTAACGAGGAAATGTATTTTCATTTTGGTCTATGAAAATCTCTGCTAAAATGATATGTTATGCGTATTAATTTTTGTTAAAAGAACGATTGACAGTGAACTTAATGTTCACATACAGTAACTGTTGAATAATACTAAAAAAAACAAGTGAAAGTGGAAAACTCGCGAATACAATATACCATGAAGGTAATAATGATAATTTCACTAATCTAAATTTCACATGGGCATTTATTTTAATTTTGAGACCTTTGGATAACTTCTTTTCCAATACATGTAACTGGCCTAGTATCGTAACAACAGCATTGAATCGTTCTGTGTTGTATTATCTATACCATATTTACTGAAGCCTGAATTAAAGTTGCATTTCATTAAGTTTTTAAAGATTTGTTAATAAATCACACTCTGATTACATTATGATTATTCGAATTCGTGTATGTAGTGTATATTGAGCCAGTATGGTAGAGACAAGATGTAAACGTTTCTGGCGTTTGTTCGTATAAATAATATAGTAAAAACTGTTCTCTCATATCATGTATTACGCATAACGACTGCTCAGCGTAAAATCCTAATAATTTATTAGCAAATATTTTGAATCAGGTTTTCTAGAAATACGATGCAAACGGATTTCAGTGTACACTGCTTCTGCGTTGAACAAGTCAAACAGATTTTGCTCAATATCAACGAGTGTAAAACCAGTGCACCACACAACATTTTGCGAGTGGGCATCATTCTTACAAAGTGTTGATGCACTCCGCATATTATTAATATTTACCAAGTCCTTATAGCTGGCTTGGTATTCATCAGTCTGCTTATGAGCAGTAAAACATTTGTCAAATCCAGTGATCGAAACAAAGTAATAGATCATCGATTAATTTCATTATTACTTTACATAACAATGTGTTTGCACGTACGTGTACTAGTAAAGTGTTACCTAGACAACATGAAACAACGAGTCCCATTAATATGGTCACGCACGCTTCTGATTAGTTTGCCCATTTGAATATTAAATGTTAGTGTGAACACAGAGACAAAATTTTGAATTAAGTTTTGAAATCAAATGTGCGTACCGGTAATATGTATTTAAAGATCAAGAAATTTTGCACAAAACGTGTAAGGTCAGCCAAAAATTTGTATGCACAAAAGAACAGTTTGAACAGTCCAAACAAAGAATGCACGAACTGTATTTGAATGTAATAACAAGAGAATTCTGTTTAGTGCATTCACCAGATCCAATGTGTTGGAGAAAATTCACTTATTTTATTTTTACTTATGTGGCACGGTTAAAAAATCAAAATATGAGAATATCGTATTTAAAATTAATGTTTAAAATGAGTGAAACATGTCAAAATAAAGGTTTGTTAAGTTAAAAATTGTACCATATTAGAATATTTCCTCACTCATATGTGAGAAATATAAAAAGAAAAAACAAACTAATAACCACAATAATTTCATGCAAATAAGCTAAATTTGAATATTTTTTTTTAAGAATTAAGGCTCACTGTATCACATCTCTATATTACATATTATAAACCACTCGCATGATTATAGGTGTTTATGACGTCATAGCTTCGCATAATATCACATGATAATGTAAACCTCTGTTCGCAAGCAAAGTCATTTAGACAAAAAGCCCCTACATTTAATTAAATACATGTATGTTTAATTCTGTTTGCGGTAATATAAAATGGCGATTTGAAGTAAAAAAATTATTGAACACATGTTATTACATGTATTTTCAAATAATCAAATAAGACTTGAAATAACAAGACCCTTTTCTTTCAAGAAAAAGAAATTAAAGCGCGGCAGTCGTCGCGCAGCGCGTGTTCGAATTCATCTATTAATAAGCAATGTATTTTACACGCGTTGTGCACGTTGTTATGTGTCCCATATCAAACAGGACGCGGCACGACGACTGTCGACCGTTAATATTGCCAAAAAATAAATTATCTTGGCCTAATTATTAGTGCAGATTTAAAGAAGATATAAACTTAAAATTCTTATATTATTTTGATAAGCTTGTAAGACAGTGAGGTTTAAGAGAATTAAAGCACTATACAATTTGTAGTTGAAGATGTTCGTTTGGCATCCCTAAATACACATCAACGAAGTTAAAAAAGTAATTCTTAGAGAAAACTACCGGTAAGAACTACTACACAGATTCATGGATTAGTGACATTATTAGAACAGATTCTATACTCAGAAATTACAGCCTCCTTAAAGGGCGGCAGTCGCCCTGCCCGATATGGGACTCATAGCGACGTACTGTAGAATACTTTATTTTCGCTTGGAATTTATTTTCGCTATTTTCGCTGAAGGGATGATTCCGTGAAAATAAAATCTAGCGAATATACTTTTTTTCCTATATTTCACATTAAACTCATCAAAAATCAGTAAAAATAAATTTCACACAAAACGCCCAAAAAGCGAAAATGAATTCCAGCGAAAATACAATATTCCACAGTATACAACGCATGTAAAATACATTGTTTATTTACATAAAATTCCAACACGCGCTGCGCGACGACAACCGTGCTTTAAAAATGATATCAGTACATCGCTATATCTGCATTTATTACATAAGAAATCAAAGTAATGTCACACTTGAGATTGTTATTATTATTATTATTATATGACGGACCCCCTAACAAGCCAACAATAGTACGATAACTCTGCGTGGTAAAATGTACCCACCGTCGCAAAATATCACCCTCTTACGGCAACTTGCTTGAGAAGGAGTGTGACACAAAGTTATTTTCAAAATAAATGAGCATCAAGAGACTGTATACAAGTCTACTGAGAAGCTTATTTTCCGGTGCTCGTCGATAGTCTGATTTTTGACCTACAACATACGATGTTGCAATCACCATGCGTCATTTTATAGGTCATCGATCATTACCCACAGGCTCGCGGAGCTATTGCAACACTACGTGAAATCGTTGCCGAGTGAGTTATACAGCCAGGTCCGACCACCAGAGCTAAAATTGGACTCCATTGTGTAGCTTGCAAGGTAAGCCTACTCTACCATGAATAGTTTACCCTGAGTGTACACTCGGACTCCCTTGTCCATAAAATTCACAATTTATGGGTAAACAATGTTGCGCAATAACACTGCCTTTTTAGTAAGTGTCAAATGGTAGAAGGTCGGGAGAACTATCCCAAACGTCGTTTTATTCGCTAATTATTACTCTGGTTCCGCTGTGTGTAGATTGTATGCGTGGTGCTGATTTGTGATACTTCTAACAGACGACCAGAACAAAACACCTGAACTAAACAAATACGTTTCACAAGTATTTACGATTTCCGCTACAGCGAACAACCGTGTTTCTGCACGGTCAATGTGACCTAATTTCATTTCAACTTTAAAGATCTCCGCTTACACTCTGTGTGTAAACCAAGCTGTGATGCCGTAGTTCCGGATTGCGACCTGTTCTTGTTGACGTCTCTTTATCTCTTGTCACTGGCAGTGTGAAAAACAAACAAAAAAAAAACCCACAAACAATGACCGGATATAGGGCTAATTGTGAAAGACAGCTGGGGTAAACTATGAGTTCGAATAGTTTCACGGGGCTCGATAAAACTGGAGATGTTCGAAAAATTTAAACAATATGCAAATCAACATGCTAGTGCTTCTAATGTCACAGAAAAATCTAGAAATTAGTTGAGCACAATATCTAGGTATTTATTAGTCTTTGGCAATTTTTGGTCTCAAAATTGTTCAAAAGCAAGCATTTCTGTCATTTCTTACCGTTTTTGGTAGACATAATTGTTGCATGTCATTTAGTCAGATGCACAGTGGACAGCGAACAGTTACTTTGTATTAACAAATGCTGATTCAGAGACGTAGATTGCTGACATGCAGTGACTGATTGCAATAATTCTTATTCATTTGTCTCAATTTATGACAAAACTTATTATGATTTATTTCTTAGCTTTAATTCCAATATGGTGATCATAGACCCCAATGAATTATCCCCATTATCCGGCTGCGACGTTGTTTTTAGGAATATTTCTGTCAATATCAAGGATAAACCAATTCTTCAGAATGTGAGTGGAGTTGCTAAAGCAGGTGAAGTGTTGGCCATCATGGGACCTTCAGGTAATGTGAAAACAAAAATAATTTTAGTACTGTAGAATACTTTATTTTCGCTATTTTTGCTGAAGGGATGATTCCGTAAAAATAAAATCCAGCGAATATACTTTTTTTCCTATATTTCACATTAAACTCATCAAAAAAAATCAGTAAACTCATCAGTAAAAATAAATTCCATACAAAACGCCCGAAAAGCCTTTTCAGCAAAAATTAATTCCAGCGAAAATAAAGTATTCCACAGTATTATTTATTGGTGCCACATATATATAGCCTGTTAGGCCAGACAAAAGCAAATCCTTGTTCATGAGACCCACTCACACGTACCATTGCATAGCACAAAAAATCACTTGCCTCGTGCAAACTCTGGATCAAATCACTTGAGATTCTCACAAACCGTGAGACCTAGGACAGAGAGTTGTTAGTAGTGTGCCCTCTGAGCAGATGTGACTCACTAAGATTTGCTATGACACAACTAGCTTTGTTAATTCACTGGCATTGGCAACAGAAAATGAAAACTTTTTAGCTCCGCTGTCGACTTTGTCGAGCGGAGCTTATCATACGAGTGATTGTCTGTCGGTGTCCGTCGTCCAGCGTCCGTCGTCCGTGTCAATGTTTTACTTGTTCGAC